TGAAAGGAATTTAAGACATGTCATTAATTTTTCTTATTACAATTTTTTAACTCTCGTTAAATATTAGTAAGAAAAATATGTTATTAAACTATATTTCCTCTAATATTATTTATAAACAATTAGAATCAAAGAAAAATCATAAAATTTATTAATTTTTTTAAAAAAATTTAGCAATTTTTTAAATTTATCATATTTAATAACACATTTTATCCTACCAATATTTAATGAAAAGTAAGAGAAGAAATTGTGATAAAAAATTGATGATATGACTTATAGATATTCTCTCTGTTAAAAAATATAAAGTATTTTTTTAAAAAAAATAAATATTTAAAAATGTAAGTCATTTTAGTCTTTTAAGGTGTAATCATTGCTTTTTTAAAGCACCCCTATTAATGAATAATTTTAAATTATTATAGGGTATTTAATAGAGATAAATATGAAAAGATATGATTAGTTTAAAAGTAAATAATTATTTTATTGAAGATAAAATTTGATTAAAAATACTTTATATTTTTAAACAGATGGAGTAATTTTTTTCTCTTTAACTTATAAATAGAATCTTAGAGTTATATATATTTAATAAGAATATAATTAAAAATTTGTTAAACTTTTAAAGGTAATCAACAAATCTTAAAATTGTTCATAATTTTAAAGAAACATGTTGAAAAAGTAAAAGTTATGATCATCCACTAGTTTTGGGGGGGAAATCTCCGGCACATTAGATTCCATGTGCCGGTTTGGAATCCATGACGTGGCGACGTGGCGTGCTTTTAAGAAGGGTTTTGTGAAATTTGCGGTGGTTGCGATGAATTACAGTGGGACCGTACCAGAATAGACGGGTCAGATATCAGTGTCATGTGAATGGATGACATTGATGCGACCACAGACATTACAGTTTTTACCCGCTCGGGTTACTTTCGTTACGATTCCCCCCCTCCCGGTGCTGTGAATTCTTAATTAAGTTTATTAAGGGTCCATTTGATTCGCTTATTTTTAAAATATTAAAAATTATTTAGATAAAATATTTTATAAAAAGCTATATTTAAATTATGGAAAGTAAATTTTTAAAACATAATTATTTAAAATTTTAAAAAAATAAATTTAAAAAGTATAATGTTATTTGATCATATTATTTCAAATTTAATCTTTTATTTTTTATTTAAAAAATAGTTAATTCCTTAAAAATATAATTATTATTTTAATAATAATAATAATTAGGTATCAATTTTTTAACCTTATAAATTAAATAATTAATCATGTTAACTTTTAGTATTAATATATAATAAAAATTATAAATTTTTATCATATTTTCAAAAATTACAAATTAAAAAATTACAAATAACTAGAGATCAAGTTATTAGCATTATAAATTAAATTTTATATTATTTAAAATCTTTATCATATTTTTAAAATATTTTAAATATATTATATTTATATAATAAAAATTATAAGTTATCATGAATCAATGTCTTTTTTAATAATTAGACATTTAAAAGCACATTTTATTATTATAATCTAAACAACTTTAAGCGTATCAAACTAAATTTTAAAAAAATATATCTAAATATAAATTTTATTACAACAATTAACTTTCACTAGATTAATTTTTGTCAAATATACTTTTATCCAATAAACTTTTGACAAGTTAAAAACCAAATACATACTAAAGAGTTTGTTTTGATTCTTGACATAATATTTATTTTTTATATTTATCATTTTTCCTAAACTACTTCTATTAATTATATAAATTACTGTAGTTTTTAATATAAATAAATAAAAAATATTTTAAAGAAACTAATATATATTTCACAAGTAACTAACTAAATAAAATTTTATAATGTATGTAAATTGATTATATAACTTTTACTTAGGAGATTAGGAAATATATACTCTCTTTATTAAAAAATGTAAAATATTTTTTGAGAAGTTTGGTATTAACAAATATAATGCATTTTTAATCTTTCGAGGTATAATTATTATTATTTTTAAATATTCCTAATAATAGTGACTTTATATTTACTATAGAATATTTAATATGAGTAAATATAAAAAGATATGATTAATTTAAAAATAAATAATTAATTTATTAAAGGATAAAATTTAATTAAAAATATTTTATATTTTTAAATAAGAGGAATATATCTATTTACACACATATTTGTCTCTTTCGGCTTTGATCAGTTGATGGCGGCAGGAGACGTGGCGAATCGTTCCTCCGTTTACAATCATCAAAGCTCTTATTATTTTAATTTGAAAGCTACAATCATCGAAACAAAGTCTAAAACGATTTTTAAAAGCGATATTAGGGTGACGATGTCTGTCATGTTCATGTACATGCGAATCCCCCCTTTTTATGTATTTAATTAGCCCCTTTTCTAGTGTTGGCGTGTTGCAGAAAATAAAAAATTGGAAAAACAAAAAAAAGTTTTTAAGCGACTTGTTATAAATTATAGATTAAAATATATTTGAACAAATTTTAAATATAATTTTTAAATTTTAATCAATTTTTCAAAAAAGAATATAAGAAGCTCGTGAATTTTATAGTTAGCGATACGGTTTTTATTATTAAATAATATCTTATAATTTTTAATATTTTCCAAACCAGTATTTAGATTTTTTAAAAAATATATACATATCAGATTCTCATTAATAATTGCCGATATTATTCAAAATACTTAAAAATTATATGAAATATGTATTTTCTATTTTTTCTCAATACATCATTAAATATTTTAAAATATAATTGTGATATGATTTTCAAAGTGTTTGTTTAATTTATCATTTTCTAAGTTTTATGCACTAATGAGTAATTATATTTTCATGGTAAACATGCAAATCAATTCACTCTCCGGCAAAATAAATCTTGTAATTTAAACAATTATTAAGAGAATTTCAAATAAATTAATTTACCATATTATTAAGATAATTTCACACAGCTAGCTGGAAGAAGAATTATTTTAGAACGACGAGATTCTTCCTGTTTTTTTTTTTTTAACGAAGTAAGTTTGATATATTATAAAGGTGCCAAATAGATAATAAATAGTCATAGATTCAAAGTATTAAAACACATTCAAGGGTTTGGGCCCAAAAAAAAAAAAAATAAATAAAACACATTCAAGGGCGAGATTCTTCATCATATGCAGATCACAATAAAAGATCTATGATGAAACAAACTCAACCTCACTTTATTTGAATTATAATTAATGAAAAGTTAAATTAAAGTTTAATTTAACCTAATCATTATCGTTATTAATTAAATAGGGAAAGCAGGGTGGCCCTTCAGTCTTATAAAATTAAGGTTGGATCATGCGCCGCTAAGAAGTAAGAATTGATTTAGGGCAAGTGGCCCTTGGGCTAGATAATATTAATGCTATGTTTAGATACACATGAATTTGGATTTGAATTTGAATTTGAGCTAAATTCATTATTTGAATAATTAAAAATGTATGAATTTGGATTTGACTAAGTCTAAATTCTCTTTTTTTTTTAATTTAAAATTCTTTTTAAACCTCTATTATTTCAAATTCTAAATCAAGCTCTTTTGTACTTTGATCCATATGAAAGCTTGATCGACTTGCTAACGGTAATTAAATTGAACTGCCAAAGTTCATAGAAACAAGTTAACATTGTTGATCGAGACAAAACAATTGGCTTCTAATGGGACGGGACCGACGACCACAACGGGGATCAGACAGTCAACTTCCATTGGCACCGAACAGATAATGACGATCGAGACTGGACGATCGATTTGCACAGCACTGGATTGACGGCAATGACCGAGACAAGGCGGTCAACTTTCACTAGGACTGGACTGACGACGGGAATCGAATGATGGACATCTACCGGGGCCGGACTGACTGTGAGGATGGGGATCGAACAGCTGACTTTCACAAAGACCAAATTGATGGTGGATGTAAATTGTTTGGTTCCTTTCATTGGTCTTGTCTCGTGGAAGTCGATCGTTCGGTCCCTGTCGTTGCCGTTGGTCTAGTCCTAGTGAAAGTTGGCCATTCGGTCCTTATCTTCATCGTCAGTTGTCCGGTCCTCATCTTCACCGTCAATCCAGTCTCAATGAAAGTTGGCCATACGGTCCTAGTAGAAGTCAGCCATCTAGTCACGATCGTCATCATCGGTCTGGTGTTGGTAGAAGTTAGTCATCCAGTCCCCATCATGGTTGTCGGTTCGGTTTTGGTGGAAGTCGACCATCCCATCCCTGTTGTTGTGACAATCTGGTCTCGATGGAAGTCAAAGGTCCCATTCCCGATCATGACCGATGCCATAATGCCAGCCAACTTTGTTTGTTTGATCCCGTTGGAAGTTGGCCATTCGAATCCTCTAATTTGATCAATCTTTCAAGTTTCTTTTAAATTCAAATATTAAATATAAAATTTAAGAGTTTACTCTAGATCCAAACAAAGAATTTGAATATTGTAATTTGAAATTTTTTATATCATCCAAATAAAGAATTTAAAATCTATAAATTTCATATGTGAGATTTTAAATCTATATTTTTAACTTAAATTCACCCATCCAAACACAATCTAAAAGAAAAACATAATTTTAAATATTTATATTTTAATTAAATTTTATTATAAGTCTTTACACTTTGTTTTGATATTTTAAATTCTTATACTTTTATTATTTAGTGTTTTAAGTTTCTATATTAAAATATTAAAAAAATATAAAAATTTATAACAAAATTTAAGTAAAATTTAACCATCTAAAATTATGTTTTCTCATATTAAAACCAATACTCAATCCGTTTTGTTTTCTTTTTTAACTCTCTTATTGGAAATGGGGAAAAGTTAAAAAAAAAAGGGGGGGAAGAAGAAGCGAGAGGACAATGCTGAAGGGTTGGATCAAATAAGATAATAATATTTTTGTCCTGATTAGTCTATTTTTAATTAAATTTGGGAATAAATAATAGATAGGTGGGCCATTCACGAGCCAGGGCCGAGAGCCGCACAAAGGTTATAAAAGGCCCTTGCTCTTGGGTAACAAGAGGTCACCCTCATCCCCTCATCCTCCTTCTTCTTCACAATTCAGAATTTCACAGAATGACAGAAGCTCTTCCTGTGAATATGAACGGCCTCACCGAGTTCTTCATCAACTCGCTCGAGTTGCCTAACTCGAACGGGTCAACTCAGTTAAAGTACCCTTCTGATTCCACTGATTTCACCAAGGTCGATCCTTCTCGCGTTTTCGTCCGCAAGGTCAGGCGCCTCATCGTTAAGGTCAGTCCCTTCTTCTTCCTCACTCTTTTCCCTTCTTTTTTTCTTTTATCTTTTTCTTTTAAAAAAATTAGACCTTCTGGTTCTTCCGAGTTTGGAAAAATTCATTATACGCTGTAAATGTTGAACGAGTAAAACCTCCTGCTTCTCCATTCTCGACATTGTATATGGTTATTATTACTCGCTTCAGTTCTCCCTCTGCCACTCATTGAACAGGTTAAACGATTCATGGTTAGAATCGGCGTCGATTATGAGTAAAGTATTTTATTAAATTGGATGACTTGACCTAAATTTCTATGTTATTTCCCTTTCCATCAATTTTTATCTATATTAAGAATTAGTCATTTATTTGTTGTTCTTTTGATCAGATTTATTAGTTGTTGCTGTCTAAGAGTGAATTGAGATTTGTTAAAAATAGTTTCATAAGGCTCCATCTTCGGAATATTCTGTTCGTGCCGTTAGAACCATCAATTTTATCAATACTCCTTTAGTTTCTTTAATAACTCATTTTTATTAATTTCACCAATATCGATATAAAAAAATTTAAAAAATAAAATGTATAAAATTTTAAATATATTTTTATATAATAAATTTTAAAAAATTATTTTTCAATAAAGAATAATTTTAAAAATATTTTTTTAAAAGTTAAACCATAATTTATAAATAAAATTAAATAAATTTTTTAAAACGTGCTTTACATATAGAATAAGAGGAGTGTTCAGTAAAAAAATAATATGCTAATATATATAGTTATTCTTTACTGCATTCGGCCGCGTCTTCTAGTTTCATTGGTATTTTAAATTTAAATTTTCAAAATTTCTCCAGGTTTATTTATTTGATGCTTGTACGTTGTATCCATGATAAACACAAATTTCCCTAGTTTTATAGTTAGGATGTGTGACGTGTGCGCATTGGATGTTAGATTAATAGAAAACAGAAATTTTGAAACGGTTTGAAACTGTTTTTATTTTATTATTTTGAGAATTAGTATTTTGTATAACATATTTTGAAAATAAAAAAATAATAAAAATAAATATTTTTTTCATTCTCCCTTATTATCCGAAACAATAATCACATAACATTTAAAAGTTATTTTTATTTTTCTGTTCTTTAAAATAATATTTTATTTTTTTTTCTAAAATATTTTTTAAAAACACGTTACCAAACGAATTTTTTTATTCTCTTGTTTTAAAAAACAGAAAACTGTTCAACTAGAATTGGTAAACGGGCGGGCCTAACTCATATGAGCTCGGCCCTTATGGACCTAGGCTCTAAAGCTCGGTTACTTCAATTTTACCCTAAAATTGAAGCCCGGGCCTTATTCATAGGGCTCAGGGTCGGGCTCGTAAGCCCGGATAAGAATAAAATAAAATAAAATAAAATTTAACATTAAAATTTGTTTAAAATATTTTAAAATTTAACATATATCAAACCAAAGTCTCACATAATCTAAAAAATGAACAAAAAATTTAAAAGTCTAAATAAGATGAAGGCAAATATCATCATCAATCCTAATCAAGATCTCCCTCATTATCATCCATAAATAAAATATTAAAACCCTCAGATGTAGGTTCACTTGTGAAAGATGGAGGCGGAAGCTCAATATTAATTATTTCTGCAACTTCTTCATCATCACCTACAACAATTATTAATTAAATTGTTTTATTATCAAAAATATATATACATATATCACAAGATAAAATATAAAAATTACTATAAAATGGCACAAAATAATTTAACCAATTGTTGGTACAAAATACAAATTAATGTTTGCACATTATCTGGAAAGAGGTGAAAACAATACTTTGTGAATAGTAAAACGGACTTCACGGGCCGCCCGAGTCCGAACCCGTTTTTCTAGGGCTTAAAAGGGCCGGGTTTCGAAGTCCGATTATCCTAAAAAATGCTAAATTTTTAAGCCCAAACCCTTATTAAAATGGGTTTAAACGGGCGGCCTGTCAAGCCCGGCTCTTATTCCCGACTCTATGTTCAACAGATTTTCCAAACAGGCCCTTCTTTTCTTTTTGTTTTTTGTTTTGTTTTTTTTTTAGGCTGAAAGTGGCTTTCTTCTTTTGAAGCGCGTTTTTTCAATGAATGTTGAATTTCTTTAATTAGTTTCTGAATTTGGGGCTCTCAATTTTGCCGAGTTTCTGAAGGGGTTGGCATTTTTATTTTCCTCAAATTATCACAATTCAATTTTTAAAAATATTTGTCTACCATTTTACGAAAAAGAAAAATATATTTTTACTATTTAAGTAAAAAATTGGTTTGCTTGATACCATGCTATATGACACTGGCATGCTCATCAAATCTTTTAGAAGCTTTATAGTTTATACTCGTGATTTCATTTGAATATGTCCAAATTAGATATTGGATATTTATTTAAGTTTACATTCAGAAATATTTTTTTATTTTAAAAATTATATATTTAAAAAACAAAAAAATAACATTGAATCAACTCTCGTTTTTGTTTGAATTTAATTATATCCTTTTCTTGCCAACGAATTTAATAATAGCTAATGTCGACTTTATGCCACAATTCCAACTCCCAATCATCAATGGTGAGGTAGCTGGAGCTCGAGCATAATGTGAAAAAGTAGACGGCGTAGCCGTTTCTCAACTTTATTTCCCATCAACAACATTTTTAACTTTTTAATCAAAAAATTAAATACAACTATTAAAAAAGCTATACTTTTCATCATGACATACTAATACATTTGGATATAAAATTTCATATTCAAAATATTGTTAATCTATGTATAAACTCTCTAAATTAGTTTTAATTTAAGATAATTTTTTTTATATCAACATAAAATTTAAGATTTATAAGGTACACCCCTGTTCTAAACTTTAAATACTGCAAATCCTATAGATTTTTCAACTTTTTTCTTGTTTTTTTCTTTGTATTTTCAATCACCGCATGATATTATGATATTGTGTGATTAGAGATCTGATCTCATCTAATAAGATAAGATCTATTATTATTATTATTATTATTATTATTATTATTATTATCTCCGTATTTTATTAAGATTTTGTAAATTTTTATTTTCATGGTTCTGATTATTTATTTACATGTTTCAATTAAATAAGATTTGTGATCTGCATAAAATATGAGTCAAGCCTTTAAAGCCACGCAAATACTCACTCCATATAAAAATATGAGGAATTTTTTGAGAAGTTTGTATGTTTAAAAATGTAAGGCATTTTTAGTCTTTCAAGATGTAATCATTATCTTTTTTTTTTCAAAAGTATCCCTATTAATAGTGAATTTATATTTATTATAGGGTATTTAATAAGGATAAATATGAAAAGATAGGGTTAGTTTGAAAGTAGGTAACTACTTTATTGAAGGGTAAGATTCAATTAAAAATACCTTATACTTTTTGAACGGAGTAAATAATATATATGGTACGAAGAGCAAATTATGGATGGTGTGGTCCGTGTGGGTAAACTTAAAATAAATAAATTATAAAACTGGTTTCATTATTTAAATATATTTTAAAAAAATAATCATGTTTATTCATAATCATAAAAATCATGTATTTATTTATCAAGTTTTTAAAATAGTTTATACTATGTGCGTGTACCTTGTATTTGCATAAATATTACCTCTTACATGTATCATAATTATTTTTCGAAAATACCTTTTAAGATAAAAAGAAATATTATTATTATTTTTTAGGTTTTGATTATTTTAAAAACAATTTAGAGAAATATCCTATTTTTAAATTTTATGCTAGACATAACCTTATATATGTTGATAAGATTTAGATATTTTTTGCTGACAAAATTTAGACTTCCCTTAAGTCTTAAGTACTCTCCCCTTGAATGCATGACAAGTTTTCCAGAGAAGAACGTGAAAATGGCATAAGTGGACAGAAAATGTCAGATGTATTATTTGTTAAATTATATATATTTTAAATTGGACGAATCTGAATCCAAGGAAACAACAACATTAGGACTTCCGTTTATGTCTCAGCACATGAACCCTGGGAGCTCTAGGTACCGCTTTGGCTTTAAATGAATGATCGTTAAATATTTGGGTTGGTTTCAGAGTGAGAATATTCTTTTTTCTATTCATAAGTTTTGCTATTAAATTTTTATTATAAATTTTATCATTTTATATTTCATTAAATATTGATGACAAAAATATGGTATTAAAATATTTATATGTACCAAGGACAAAATTGTTATTAAAATATTTATTAAAGACCTACTTTATTTGTTTGGATTGGTGTAGATGCGGATGCTCAACTAATTTTCCTCCAAACAAATACAGGGGTTTGCGTTTAGGTATGAAAAGCAGAACCAGTAGAAAGGTTTTACTTTTCCAGTACCCTGTTTCCCCTGGTAATCATACTTTTCATTATCAATCATCTCGGAGGAGGAGAAAATTTGGTACAAATAATGGACTAATGACACGTGACCCCACAAAATGACACGTGACCCCACAAAGTTCAAGCTGAATCCGTGCTCTTCCTTTTACTTTTTCTTGGAAAGAGATACTTTTTCTTTTTCTTTTTTCCCAGTTGGATTTGGATGAGCCAATCAGTTCACATAGGAAAAATTTCTAACACATCTTGGTAAAAAATATTTATTTATTTATTTTGATTTTAAATATAAGTAATTTAATATTTATAATTTTTTTTTCATTTCACCTTTTATATTTATTAAATTGGATTCTTGTGTCTGTAAATTTATAATCTTCTTACTTATCATAAATTAGAATTAAAAATAAAAAATAATATATATTTTTATGAGAATAAAAATTTTATTTATATGTCAATTATTGTTAAAATATGCTTATATTTTGAATTAGATGAAGCATTTTCTAATCACATTTATTAGTCAAATTTTAATGTCAAATTCCAATACTATGAAGTTAAAAAGAAAGTATGCAAGGTTGTATTTTTAAAATTATCGTGTTAAAAAATATATGACTTTTTTTGTCTTTTAAAATGTAATTAAAAGTTTTTTTTTAAATTTTCTTAATCAAAAGAGTAATCAAAAAGGTTTTTTAATTGAAATATGAAAATGGTGTATAATTTTAAAGATAATTAATTAATTCACTAATTGATATTATTAAGTTAAAAATGTCTTAAATATTGTATTTACAAGTGATCGAGACATTTAAAAATGATTAATTTTCTTACCCGAACCTGTGCGTAAAATCGTAAATCTCTCAAAAAAAGTGCATCCCTCATAGATTTAATAATTTTTTAAATGGCAAGTGAATCTGTAAGATTTATTTTATGGAGTAACGATTAATAGTAATAATAATGAGCAAAAATCAGAGCACGCTAATGGTCCAAATAGTTTGGCACAACGTGGCAGGTCCGCCGCGTCTCTGGAAACGCTTTTTTCACCCTCCAATCCAACACTGCACTCCTCCTGGTCTAAACTAAACTAACACAATCCTTCCACTCTCATTCACACGGAGGTTCTTGTGTTCTCACCTTATTCATCATCTTCGATTTCTATCACCGCCATGGATCCTAATCGTGCTTTTGTCAAGAATGTCAAGCGTGTTGTTGTCAAGGTCTCTCTCGCTTTTATTATCTACTGTTTCATTCATTGCATTTTTGTTTTCTCTTCTTCTATTTTTGGGTAATGCTTCACTCGTTGCCTATTGTTTAATTCAGTGAAATGTTAGCGAGCGATGCAAATCATTTGTGGTGTTGTTCTCTGTTGTGCTATCGGTTTAATCTGTTGACTGGTTCAATGATAAGATTTGTTATTATTTTTCCGACAAATTTTTATGCTTTAAGTTCTATGGATTTATTTCTGATACATGTTAAGATGAAAAACAGAAAACGAATGTCACCTAGTTTATTGAGCTCCATTCAATTTCCCTACATTTTTATACATCACTTTGCTTTTACTTTCCTGCTTTTTTTTTACTTGTCCTACATGTAGACTTCAACTTATTTTTTAACTAATATGATTGCAGGTCGGAACTGCTGTAGTTACTCGAAGTGATGGAAGATTAGCGCTGGGCAGACTTGGGGCTCTCTGTGAGCAGGTAATGTAATAATACCACTATAAAATTAAGTCTAATGTTCAGTTAACCCTTTGTAAATCTTCTGAACTGCATGGGAGAAAACCAAGGATGAAAACAAATAAAAGGGTCAAGGAGAGAGCTGAAAGGCAAACGGACCCAGAATTTTTTTAGAATCTAGAAATATCCCATTGGTCATGACTTCGTTTTTGTTCGTTTTGTCCAACATCATTTTTTCATTTTTTCAGTGACTGAAATTTTGTCAATTTGTACAGCTTAAAGAGCTCAATACCCTTGGGTACGAGGTTATATTGGTGACATCTGGTGCAGTTGGTCTGGGCCGCCAAAGACTAGGATATCGCAGAGTGGCCAATAGCAGGTTTTCCCTGAGCTGAAGTAAAATATGGTTTCAATACATGTATCAATTTCATCTAACTACTGGATCACAAAATTAACTGCATGAATTTATCAAACAATAGAAACTTTCGAAGCATGTGATGTTCCTCCAAAATATGTCATGTTTACATGCGGATTTAAGGTCAGATATATGGATTAGAAAATCAATTGGAACAAAAATGTGTTTTCGTTTAGCTCTGCGCTGTTCTGTAAAACTAGTTTAATTTTCCCCCAGTATAACTTTGTTAGGTTATTATGATTTAAATCATTTAGTTTGGATTAGATCAACATAGCATATAATAATTTCATGCACACTTTCAGCATTTAATTTTGCACTTGAGAATCACACGCATGTTCATAAATTTTTTCATTATTATACAGCTTTTCTGATCTTCAAAAGCCTCAAAGTGAGCTTGATGGGAAAGCCTGCGCATCGGTTGGGCAGGGTAGTCTCATGGCTCTGTATGATACCATGTTCAGCCAGGTAGTAACAAATCAATCTGTTAATCTAATAGGTTTTTAATTTGATATGAGTGGCATGATTGTGTGCAGTGGAATATTTTTTTTCTCAAAATTTACTATCATAGTTTTCCTCCATATTGATATTGATAAGATATTTGTATGGTGCAGCTTGATGTCACTTCATCCCAACTTCTTGTGACTGATGGCTTATTTAGAGATGCGGGTTTCAGAAAACAACTGACGGACACAGTGATGTCCTTATTAGAATTAAGAGTTATTCCTATTTTTAATGAAAATGATGCCGTTAGTACCAGGAAGGCGCCTTATGAGGTATGCTGGATTAATTTGATTTTCTTTCTTTCTAATTTTTATGGATTTATGTTTTTGCTTTTGATTGTTTAATCCCTCCATTTTCATTCAATCATCCTCCTTTTTCAAGAGGATATGAGGGAAACTGAGAACCATCAATTACTGCTGATACTTGGGCTGATTTTACAGCCGTTTTCTAGGAATAATCTTTTTGTGGGGACCTTGAAATTCAAGCTTTTGCTGTTACCATATTGTCAGATGGCTTTTGTCAAAATGTTAACTTCTTGTTTCCACAGACAAACAATAATCTGATTCTGTTGGCATTGTGATAGATGATTGCTTCTAATTGTTACCTCTGTGCAGGATTCTTCTGGTATTTTCTGGGATAACGACAGTTTGGCGGGTCTATTGGCTTTGGAGCTGAAAGCCGATCTACTTGTTTTATTGAGTGATGTGGAGGGCCTTTATAGTGGTCCTCCAAGTGATCCAAAGTCAAAGCTAATTCACACTTATGTGAAAGAGAAACACCAAGAAGAAATTACTTTTGGAGACAAGTCCAGATTGGGCAGAGGGGGTATGACTGCTAAAGTCAATGCTGCAGTTTGTGCTGCCTATGCTGGAACACCGGTGGTTATTACTAGGTATTCTTTTCTTTTCTTTTCTTTTTAACCAATATATCAAGATGTTTATTCTAAAAATAAGTATTTTTGTTCGAATTTTATTTATTATTAAAAAATCAGTTGTTTTAATTTATTGGTTCATCCATCTTTGGCCTGACTATTAGGAGAAAACTGTCCCCACTGATAAAATTACTGATGGAAACGTCAGGAAATAAATGCAATGAAGACTGAACTGAAGTAGGGCTATCATGAATTTGTTTATTACAAACTATTCCTTTCTTATGGTTGGTTTATATATATATATATATATATATTGTGTTTTCATGTCAGCATTGGAATCTGGTAAGGTTATTAGTTGTTGAGACAAGGCATAAAGATGTTCCACAAAGCCAGTAAAAAGAGTTCAGTCTGACGGTCTACATCAGATTGAAAAAAAAAAAAATTGATTTCATATAATATATATTTTCTATAGGCTTTTAATGTCTTTCAATGCCAACTTTTTGAAGTGATGAAGACAGATTCTAATTTCTAATTGAGTGTTATTTCTGATTCTTTTCTCTGGAACAAGGATAAGGGGAATTTCCTATTTTACTGACTTTGATTTGAATTCTTTCTCCTTTCAAGCGGCTATGCTACAGACAATATTATTAGAGTGCTTCAAGGGGAGAAGATAGGAACTGTTTTTCATAAAGATGCACATTTGTGGTCAACCATTAAGGAAGTGAGCGCACATGAAATGGCAGTTGCAGCGCGTGATAGTTCTAGAAGACTTCAGGTAAATGCAATGGCAAATTAACGAGTGTGAAGTGCCTTCTTTATTTTCATAGGAATACATCTTTTAAGAGTGATTTATCTTTTTCGGCCTTGAGTCTTATAGGGTATAGTTCAAATGGCACCCCACAGTTCCCTCAAAGAAGTGTGTTTGTGGGATCAAACCCCCAAGTGGGTGATGTGTGTGTGGGTCACCCTTTCTGATGGAAAAGGGCTAGAGTAGGTGTGTGTGAGTGTATAAATTTCATGTGTGTTAAAAAGAAAGAAAGAAAGAAAGAAAATAATGATTTATCTTTTTGATTTTTCTACTTCATTTTTCTTTTGGGGAAGTTTACAGCCAACAACAATTAACCAATGTAGATAGTTTTCATTTACATAATACTAATGTTTTGGGTATCAGGCCCTAGAGTCTGATGAAAGGAGGAAAATATTGTTGTCGATAGCTGATGCATTGGAGGAAAATGAAAGCATGATAAGGCTTGAGAATGAAGCTGATGTTGCTGAGGCAGAACAGGCTGGGTTAGAGAAGTCACTGGTTTCACGTTTAACCTTGAAACCTGAGAAGGTAATCAATCATTTCCCTATTAGGGTAATACTCTATAAATAACATGCCTGACAATCTCCTGTCTTTACTTTCCGAGACTAGACTGGATCCTCACTTCTAAGGGATGTTTGTAATGTCATTTTTTCCCTTTTCTGACAACTATAATATTTTACAGATCTCCAGCCTTGCGAAGTCTATGCGCATGCTAGCAGATATGCAAGAACCCATTGGTCAAATTTTAAAGAAAACAGAGGTAGAAACCCCATACATAATTTTGTCTATAAAAAATCCATGATTGTCATCTAATAGACTTGAAAAAATGACAAATTCTTCAGCTTTTTTCCTCTAAAAACAGAATCTTCACATCTTCTCTCTCTGATAATTAAAATATTCACATCTTTTTATCAACAAAGAAAGAACCTCACTAATTTGTCCAAAAGAATATTAATTTCTCCAAAACCATAAATCCTGATGTTCTTGTGCCCAGCTTGCAGATAAACTCATACTGGAGAAAATATCATGCCCTTTGGGTGTCGTGCTTGTTATCTTTGAATCTCGTCCTGATGCCCTTGCTCAGGTACACCCTTCCTCCAGCTTCAACAAAACTGCTGAAAATGTTTTAGATATGAGCAAGATGTTAAACTATGTTTTAACAGGCTTGTCATTGTTTTTACAGTACTATTTAATTTGGATTTTTCGTGAGTGTGTCATTTTTTGTAGAACAAGTATGTTGTTGTGACATGTTTCCTCATATTCAAGATTGACTTATAAGTTGTTTGTTGATGGGTGGTTTAATAGATAGCTGCATTGGCCATTCGAAGTGGAAATGGTTTACTGCTTAAGGGAGGAAAGGAAGCCAAACATTCGAATGCTGTCTTACACAAGGTTTATCTAAATTTTGGGTTTGATGCTGTTGTTTTTTAAGATTAATTTGGATTAGAATTATATATACTTTTGCGCAAGTCATTTGATATGGTTCTCAATGTTAATGTTTCATCATTATTGTAGATCATTACTTCAGCCATTCCAGAACATGTTGGTGAAAAACTTATTGGACTTGTGACTTCAAGAGAAGAAATTCCGGATCTGCTGAAGGTGATGCTAGAATTAAATTTCTTCTAGTTATTTGTCTAAGATGGCTTCATACTAATTCTACTTTGCCGCAGCTTGATGATGTTATAGATCTTGTGGTCCCAAGAGGAAGCAATAAACTTGTTTCTCAAATCAAGGAGTCGACAAAAATTCCTGTTCTTGGCCATGCTGGTAATTCACACACACAGACACACACGCATTCACACAATTTTGTAATATTATTTCCCTTAACTGTATTCTACTAAGTTATATTTCTGTCATGTAGATGGAATTTGTCATGTATATGTTGACAAGTCGGCTAATATTGATATGGCTAAGCAGATTGTTAGAGATGCAAAGATTGATTATCCTGCTGCATGTAACGCAATGGTAACACTCTTGAAATGTGCACTAAATACTATTGTTTGTTCATTTACATCCAAAGTGGCCAATAAAAGAACCGCCCACATCCATCTATCCTTCAAGTTTTGCATGCTATTAGATCATGGACTGTGTGTGCTAATACATTCTATCCTGATGTTCTAAGGAAACACTCCTTGTGCACACGGATCTAACGCATAATGGTGGGCTTAGGGAACTCGTTGCTGAACTCCGAAAAGAAGGTTTGATCTTAATTGCACATGGATTATGAGAAACTAAATATATATTTAAATTGGGGACAATTTCTATTACTTCTGTTATATTTTAGCCCTCTGTCAATCCCTTTGTGATATTGATGATTTCCCCCTTTTTACTGCAATCAAACAAATCCTTGATTTTCAGACCAAAAATTAGAAAACCTGGATTTTTTGTGCTAAAATGGTAGCTAGTTTTTCACATAAAGAAAATTTGACTACATTTGAGGGATCGCTATCTCTAATAAGACGATACTACAATGCAAGCTCTTGTGGGTAAGGCTTTTTTCCAAAAGAATCAAGGAACTCTGAGAAAGAGAAATTGTTTAGGTTGGTTATTGATGTTGTAAAGGAAATCCAAAGGTGATCTGTGCGTAGAAAATTAAAGGGAGCCTGTTTGCAATGAGGGTATTGGTTGAGAGTCTATGAATCTTACATATCATACACTAATTTGTTGGCAGGTGTTAAACTATATGGTGGACCAAGAGCCTCTGGCTTGTTAAATATTGCTAAAACCGAATCCTTCCACTATGAGTACAGCTCACTGGCTTGCACAATAGAAATTGTAGATGATGTCTTTGCTGCTATTGATCACATACATAAACATGGAAGGCATGTTGGGATCATCCTGCTCGTTCACATTCATCTTTATTCAAGTTCTCTGTATTCTAAGGCTGATAGTCTTTCTTCCATTCCTTTGGTTGCAGTGCTCATACTGATTGCATTGTTACTGAAGACTCAGAAGTTGCTGCTACTTTCCTTCGTCAAGTTGATAGGTAGGCTGGGCAAAATTTAGGGGAATAAAATGACAGTATGCCTGTTCCATGCTTTGTCCGCAACAGCTTACTCCAACTTCATCTCTGCTAACTTTAACCCGTTATTTTTCCTGTATGCATTGCATAGGTATCGAATATCTTGTTCTCATTGCCATATTTTTCATTGAGTTCTATGTGTAAAATCTGATGAAATTCCAATTATATCATCAGATTGTTGCTTGGTGCAGATTGCAGAGCACCTTGGGTATTAGAAATAGCTATTTTCATATTTTCACCAACGTAGTTGATATGCTTATCTATTATAGCCTGGGATCGATATATTTTTCCAATTTGCAAATTAACAAGGGTAAATTTATTGCGTTGACCTTGTCTAAAGAATGGTTTCAGAATAAAATAGTTCTCAGCTTTAAGTGTGCAGCCTTCTAAGGAAATCTTTCTCAAAAAAAGAATTATTATGATATGTTCCTTTTGTATCTTTTCAGCTTCTTATACTTGCACTTTTATTATAGATTTAGTACAAAGATCATCTCTATGATATGAATAAAATTAAGACAGAATATGCAATAACCTCCTAGTTATTTAATTATATTTTTGAAATAGCTTCTTAAGAGTTTGGATGAAAACTTTGCTTACAAATTAGTTCGAGATTTTAAAGGTTTCTTTTTATGAAGACGTGTACTTTGGTACGTCTCAAATTATTTTTCCAGTTTAAGCAGTATGCTTGCTTGCTAATATATATTGATTTGTTTATAAACTTATGTTACTTTTTTGGATCATGTCTTGTTGCTACATATACATATAGTGCTGCTGTATTTCATAATGCAAGTAGCCGGTTCAGTGATGGAGCACGCTTTGGCCTTGGTGCAGAGGTGATGCATCTTCGAGAAGTTTCATCTGATATATTGAGAAGCATGCTTAGTTTTGTTTTCTGATTTGATTTTGTTTCGCATATGGTTAAACAGGTTGGAATAAGCACAAGTCGAATCCATGCCCGAGGTCCAGTGGGAGTTGAGGGTTTGTTAACAAATAGATGGTATTGGTTCTCTCACTACGTGTATCTTTTTTATTAAAGAGCCTGATAACAATCTATTTTGATCATATGTTAAGGAATATTAAAATCTCTTCTGATATTATGTTGCAGGATATTGAGAGGCAATGGGCATGTGGTAAATGGTGATCGAGGAATAACATACACACACAAGGAGCTGCCTCTAAATGCATAGGTTATAGGATATTACAATTGGGATTAGATCAATCTACTAGTAGTTTTCTTTCCTTCAATTTTAAGATACAATGTTTGTGCTGTATAATTAGTTTGCATATTATGACTATTAATTACAATTAATTTGCCCCTCTTCCAGAATTTTTTTTCTTATCTGGAGCATCGTCAGGGGAAAGAAATAGTTCGAGGAACTATTAATTAGGTGAACTTTTCCATGATGGATGGATATCTGATTACATTTTATCCCGAATAAATTATATTAAATTATTTCCCCTTTGATATAATAAATTTATAGTTAAATTGTTCTTGCACCATATTTGCTTTATGCAATGCAAGTCTCTAATAGCAAGGGTTTAATATGATAAACCCAATTGTGTCTAGTATTAGGGCTGCACAAATACTGGACTGGACCGGGTTGGATGCCAACCCGAAGTCTAGTCTGAATGGAGACAGGGCTATAATTTTCAGTTCGAGGACTGGTCCAGTCTTGTTGGACCTGGGACCTGGATCGGGTTGGACTTGGTCCATCAGGTTACTGGACCAGTTTAGATTCTTGAATCCAACTATCTCCAAAAAAAAAGCCCTTATATTCCCTTTCCTATATTCACTTGCATTAATATCATAGGCTTTTTTTTTATATCCCTTTTTTTTTATATTGCTTAATGTTTTTGTTGTCTACGTATAGCGTGAAAACACAATAGAACATATATGCTTTGCATATGTTTCTTTTTTTCAAGTCTTGAGCTAAAGAGGAACGAGAGCATGCATGAGTGACGTAAATACATAAACTAAGTAGACACTTGTATTAACTTAGCAGTATATACAATGACAATAGATTAATCCTTTTCTAATATTAAGACAACTTGATAATCTACTATCAAATTACATTAAAAAAATGAAACACTGAAAGAAAAAATTAAAGACCCATATGAATAGATGCTAATCCAAACATCATCTTCCTCACATGTTCATGGTACTATTTGTTACCTCTGGCTCTCGTCAACCCCCTCAAACATGCATGCTAAATAAGTGCCAAGTAATAAACTCATTAATATATTCATATTCAGAATATATACATCTCACTATAGTCTACTTAGTCAACAATTCAACATTTTATTGTCAAGCTCTATAGTCTATCCAAAAAACTGACTATCTACAAATTCTAGCCAACCACATGATATAGCTAGCTAGCCAAAAAATAAGCATTAGCCTATCAAACTATCATCATGCTTTTTCACATAACAAAAAGTTAGTGAGATGTGCCCAAAATATATTCAAAATATTTGAAAGTTTGAAAGTTAACAAACATAAGCGCCATACAACATCAAATGACGCTCACACAACCATCCTCTCCAACATCAGTAACACTGGAAAGATCTGAAAAAATATATAAAATATAAATAGTCAATGGCATTACATCACAAATAAAAAAATACAACTGAAACATATAATAATTCATATAAAATATAAATAGTCAATATCATCATTGCAACACATACCAGTCTTCACCACACCCTCGGTCTCCTGAAAATTATCAAATTCTTGAAGCATGGATGCAAATTTAGAGATGGATTGTCTAGGAAGCAGCCAATTTTGAGCACAGATAAGTGCTTCAGTCATCTTTGGTGATAATGAACTCCTATAAGAGTCGCCTTCCTGTGCTGAATGCTGACTCAAAGGCCACTGTAGACACTAGAACAGCCAAGACATCATGTGCCATCATAGAAAGAACCTTGTATTTGCTAGAATTGGCTCTCCACCATGCTAATATATCAAAATCATCATCAATAGGGGTATCATTAGCAGAATTAGATGAAAGATATTTATCTAATTCTGATTGTGGGTCTGATGAGGTTTTTTATTTTTTAGATGCTAACCACCTGCGACTTGGATCTATACCCCCTTGGCCTTCAAGCATTGAACATGTTGATGATCCTAGAAGTGTAGAAGAAGAAGCATTGCTTGGGGTACTAGTCCCTAGTCCTTTAGAATACTCATCAAACATACAGTACAAGACATCTTTGATCTTAATTTTCATGGCCATGCAAACTTCAAGATCAAGAAAAAGATGCTCAAATATATGATTCACATAAGCAAGCTTGTACCGAGGATCCAAAATCACTGCTACAATGAGCAAAGGATTCATATTCTCTGTTTGACCCTAATATTTTTCATACTTGCTTCTCATACTTAGGGATATTTCCATAAGCAAAGGATCAACATTCACAATGTTCTCTTCCAACAACTCATGAATAAGAGCAATTTGATGGAAACAAGTGTTAGAAGTAACATTTAGTGAACTTGAAAATATCAAAGTTATGTTATAGAATACCTTCAAAAATTTGAGAAAGACACATGCCTTGTTCAAATCACTAGCTTTAGGAGGGCCTTCACGCTTAGTGCCTCCGATGAATTGCCCCATATAATCTTCATCTTTATCTTTTAGGCGTTCAAAAGCCTTTTGAAATTTCAAAGCGGATTCCAACATCAAGTAAGTTGAATTCCACCGAGTATTGACATCAAGGCAAACAAGGCTAGTAGTGTCCAATTTCTCCAACTCAATAACACTTTTAAACTTTTAGAGACGAGCAGGAGAAGAACGAACATATTTAATTGCATTGCGGATTGCATCAAAGCTGTTCTTCAACTCCTTCAATCCATCATTAACCACCAAGTTAAGAATATGTGCACAACATCTCAATTGAAGGTAATCACCCCCATAAACCATGCCCTTCCAATTCCTAAGCCTTCTTTTCAAATAAGACAAAGCCGTGTCATTAGATGATGCATTGTCCATTGTTATAATAAACACCTTCTCAATTCTCCATTTTAATAGACACTTCTCAATTGTCTTTATAATTGTGTCACCCCTATGATTCTCAATCATGCAAAAATTTAATATCCTCTTATGCAACTTCCACTCAAGATCAATGAAATGACAAGTAAGGCATAAGTAATTGAAATTTTGAGTAGATGTTCAGCAATCAGTTGTCAAGCAAACACGATTTGCAAACTTCTTCAACACTTGCTTCAATATCTTGATTTCTCTAAGGTATAGTTGCCAACAATCTCTAGCAACTAATGTTCGTGAAGGGATTCGAAATCTTGGTCCCAGGTCTCTCATAAAATTTCTAAACCCATACTTCTCAACTATCTTGAATGGCATCTCATCACAAATAACAAATTCAGCCAATGCCCTTCTACATCGTTTTTGGTTGAAAACATGAGAGACTAAGCCCCCTCCTTGCCCACTTCCCGTCACGTAGTTCAACATTGATTGCTTTGGTATTGTGGTAGCCTTACGTGGGTTTTTAGGACATTTTGAAAATTTCCTTTTCAATGATGTTGTCTCATGCTTGTTTGGGTCACAAGCATAAGTTGCATGACAGTATTTGCAAGAAGCTCTAACCTCTCCATTTGTTTTTTCCAAAGGTAACTTCACAAAATGCTCCCAAACTTGTGATTGTTTACTCTTCTTCTTAGGCTCTTTTCTCTTTCTGCTCACATTCTCTGGACCACAATCTTATGTAAGGTTAGAGGCAGGATTAATAGCTACAAGAGGAGGAGTTGATGGAGTTGGTCCAGTAGGAGGTGGCATTTTATTTTGACTAGAACCAATTAATTGTGTTAGCTGGGGTTGGCCAATACTAGCAGATGCAGAAGTTTCGTCCACCATGTCTCTAACATGAAAAACAAGACACAATGTTAACTTATAAAATCACAAACACAAGTATAGAGTCAGACTTCTCTCAAAGAAGTATGACATATACAGAGCCACTTCTTTGTCATGATCACCGGTAAATCAAATCCAATAATTAATATTATAAGCACAGGTAATTTAATCGTTGCAGAAATTTATCCTCAAAATACTGATATAAGGTTCAAATATTAGAATAGCAACCTCACCAAAAATATAATAAATATCACATTATACCAACAAAAAATGAGGAATGATCCTCCAAAATTGAAGCCATCTATAGCAAGTTAGCAATAAAAGATCAGTTATCAGTCTACAGCAACAACAGAAGCGTCTCTCGCCGAAAGGGTGGAAAAATGAACTTTTGAAAATGGCAACAATAGTACATCTCTCACCGCAGCAACCTTAACAAAAAGCAAAAAAAACCAAAAAGAGAGAAGTAACAGAACAGAAGCATGTGAAAATGGAACAGAAATCGTCGGAGAAGCTAGAAACAAAACAAGAAAAACTAGAAACCAAGCAAGCAAAACCAAAATTCACGATGAATCAGAAGGTTGAGTGAAGAAAAACTAAAAATAGAGCAAGCAAAACCAGAAGAAAAACCACAAAATACGAATAAATTTCAGCTATCGACGCTATCGCTGGAGAAGAAGGAGGAAAATGCATGATGAATCAGAAGGCTGAGTGAAGTAGTCAAGTGATCGCGTTGTTCTTCTTCATCGGCATGCTTGAGGAGAAACAAGGCGAGTGGGCGACGAGCGACGGCTAACCACGGAGAGGCAGAGAGATGAGTGAAACTTTAGAGAGCTACAGCCTACAGCTAGGGCAACGAGAGAAATGACAAATGAGGGTACTGAATTGACTACTGAGCTCAAAGCCTCGGACAGAGTGGGGAAGGACTGAAGGATTATGTGGGGAAGGACAAGTTTCCAATGCGGCCTATACGACAGCCAATTTTTGACTAAGACCCTCAGACTCTGAACATCATGGCCTTGCTATTCATATGTTTGAATTTTACTACCAATGAAAATTTTTTATTAGTAGTGGGTTGTCTTTATTCAGACTTCACAGACCGAATCTGAGGCATGAGCGTGAGGAACTGTAACTGAGGTGTGAGACGTGAAGCTCAGCGAGTCAATCAGCGTAAGATTTTTTTTGTGTAAATAATATAATTATTTAATATTTAATATTAAAAAATTAACCTGGACCGGGTCAGACTAATTAGTCCAAAAGAGCAGTCTCTAGTTTGGTCTAACCCGTATATATAGTCTGACCCGTTTAGTCCAATCTTTTATTTGGGTTGATTTTTTTAAGATCGGGTCAGACCAGATCACACCGGGTCAAACCAAACAGATCGGGTTTGAAGTTTTTTTGCACAGCCCTATCTAGCATGATAAATGCAAGTGTGGTAAGATCCCAAGAGGCCAATTACCAACACGTCGGAGAAGAAAGGGACTGACAAGTCAGAGGTGACATATGGCATATAATTGCCTCAAGTAGTTGTAAGGATTTTCAAGAAATTGGGAGAGCATTTAGTTCAAAGGTAGCCAGATTGATAAGGTATTTATTT